TTTAAAGAAAACTTTTGATGATATATTATTAGAGATTGTTGTTTCATTTTTCTTAATACACATATACATAATATACTATTAATTATCATATCGTAATTATTAAATGCAGATCAGATGACATTTCGCATGATTGATATAGGATTTATGTAACAGGTCACACAAAGTAAAATTACGTGTGTTCCATTTCATAAAATATACAAATATACAATGCTTTAATCAGCAGTCATTTTTTATTTATCTCACTTTCCTAAAGCATAATTACACATCACATAATTCACTTTACATATAATAAAAATTGTTACGCATCCATTTTTTTACTATTTGATTTTCCTATATATCTAATTATAATTAAAAATCAAACATAAACTCGAATCATTTTATACTATCCAGAATATTCTTGATCTGAGGAAAATCTGGGATATCACGCATATACTTAATTTGTTAATGTGATGTAAATGGTGATATTCTTCAATTTTTATAATCTTTCGCAAGTCCAAATACACGTTTCTGTAAATACATATACTTTACTATAAATTTTAAAATAATGAAACATGATATGTATATAACAAAAATATAGTATATCTCTAAAGCTACAAAATGTGCAAAATTTGACTCGACCAGAGGTAAACTAGGTTCATCAACCACCAGTTTTAATGTAAGAAAAGCCTATGATCGATATATTCTGTCATATTATAGATCTATAATATACGTTTGTATGATATCACCTGTAATTTCTAATAAATAATTTAGTAGATAATAAAAGAGAAAGCAGTCAGACTTATAATAATAAAACTAAGAACAAATCACAGTTAAGTAATATGACTGACTCTCCTGAACCACCTTTTGAGGACAAAAGCTGATTGATAGTCTGTCCTGTTCGTAAATGAGCTTTTATTATATCCTTTTTTTGCTTCAAAGGACTACATCCCAAGGGTTTTATTTCTGAATTTAATAAAGATATACCATCCACAGTACATGAAAGATCGGGCCTTTGTTTTGTGCCCTTAACTGAACGATCTAACTGCACCTCATAATTATTATATCTTTTAAAGAAAATCAGATTGATATATAGGTGAAGAAATTGAGAGCAATGTTCTTGCTCTGATGTTTTTTTTAGCGCGATATCAGGCACACACTCTCGCCTTAATATGTTAGAAGAAATTTGTTAAATAAATTCTATTAATGAATTAATCAAGAAATGTCAACCTACAATTCGTTAAATATTCTTGATGACGCTCTGCTTAATGGAGATTCGTCTGGATGCATGAAACTATTCTGATCACATGAATTCTTTACTATGGTATCATGCAGAGCGTTTGATACTGAAGCTGATACCAATAGTTCATGTATTTTGTATAGATTTGTCCTAATTATCAATTGTCACTCTTCGTTAGTGAAGTAATTCAGGTAAGGACAGGATCAGTTGAGTACGATAATAGATGAGAGTGCTTTAAAAGTGCAATATTTAAATGTGAATATAACTGTGATGTTTCAATTTGTAAGTCTCATAACACTCACAAGATTTCATACGTATTATTCTACGTTAGTCTGGTTGATTGAAGTGTTTTAAGAACCTCTCACTGGTATTTACAGAATATTTCCGTAACATTTATATTTTGAACTATTCACTGATTTTTAAAGATAATATTTGATAATAAGAAATAAGACAGGCAACAATAAGAAATCAAAGTTTTAACTTTATACCTCATTTTTTGGCTCCTGTCTCAAATTCCTAATAATATTATATAAATTAATGATATTTAATATACCTAATTTATTTTATTTTATAAGATTCTTTTACTAAATTCTTTGGGTTTTTCCTTCAGTTTTTGATTTTTTATATAGAAATAAAAAAAATATATTGTTAATTATCATAAATAATGAATAAAAATAAATTAAAAATTAATATCTGATTTTAAATTGTTAGAATCATTATTAATTTTAGCTAAAACTAAAATGCCTACTATTAATTTTATCAAAATTTTGATAGTAACCAAAATTTTTATATTATTTTTAAATTTTATTAATATTTATTTTTCTATAATTTAAAAATATAAGTACAATAATAACAAATTAGAAATTAATAAAATATCAACTAAGATTATTAAATAAACTTAGAAGTTTTGTATATTATCTAAATATTAAAAGTTAAATTTGTGAAATTCTATTAAAACCTTATTAAAAATCTACAAAACTCAAAAAAAATAAAATTATATTAAAACTTATAAAATGTTAAAACTATATTAAAACTTTAGTAAAAAATTAATAAAATTAAAAGTTTCAATATTTTATCAAATTTAAATATATTTAAACAAATAACTTTAATATCAACTAATATTTTATTTAATATCCTATTAATTTTTAATATTTTCTTATTAAATTCAATTAAAAAATCTAATTACTATTAAAATAGTAGCACAAAAATACAGTTAAATTCTAATTAAGATATGTAAATTAAAAACTTATTGGTTATAAATTTATACTAATAGATTATTTCTTATTAATATAAATTTATTTAATTATCAAAATCCTAATTGATAATTTTTGACATAATTTATAATAATAATATATATAAAAATTGATTATAAGTATATAAATTTATATTAAAAAAAATTCAAAAAAATAAAAATATTTATAATTTAATTAATACAAATTAAAAATTTAGTTTAAATATTCTAATTAAATTAATAAAATAGAATTTTAAACTTTTAATTTTTTTTTATAATTACTAATAAAAATATTATATTTTAAATTATATAATTAGATCTTATATTTAAACTTTAAACTTAAATTATATATATAATTTAAAGTTTAAAATTTAAACTTTAATCATAAAATTATTTTATTAAATATTTAATATATATACAGTCAACTCTTGTTATAACAAACTCTATATCCTAAATCTCAACTTTGCTATAAGGTTATATTAAAGATTTTAAGAGATTTGATTGGCCAATTCATTATAACAAGAGTATTTTTATT